GGTCTGTGGGCGTCTCGTTTCCTTGAGGGACGCACTGTGACGCTTCTTACAGGAGGAGTAGTGGCCTCAGGGCCACAGAGAGGCCAGGCTCTGAATTCAGAAGCAGGGCCTCTGTCCCGAATGCTCTGCGAGCTGGAGGCAGGGAGCGAGGTGGGAAGCAGAGCTGGCCCTCTCCAGGAGTGTGCTCTTCAGCAGGGCGCGATGCCGAGCTTCATCGTGGAAGGGTGGGCGATGGGACAGCAGCTGCCAGGCACCAGACTGTTCTCACTGCGGTCTTCACAGCATTCGGACACAGCAGATGTCATTATCCAACTAATTAGAACACAGAAGCTCTTCAAGGATTTCAGAACTGTGTACAAGGTGACACTTAGAGCTGGCGCTGGGAATCACATCCAGGTGGAGTGACGTCTCTGTCCCTGTATTGTCCAGTGGAAAGCCTGGCCATGCACAAGGAGAACAGGAAGCCTGCTGGGCCTGGAGGCATAGGCCTGTGACCCCCACTTGGGAAGCTGAGGCAGGAAGGCCTCAGGTGCATGGGTGCAGAGTAAGTTCAAGGCTGGCCTGGGTTATACAGCCAGGCCCTGTCTCAAAAAGAAACAACAGCAGCAGCAGCAGAAAGACTATAGGCAGCCTAACCGGGGGACACAGGTCATAATGAAGTGGCCTACTGTTGTGCCATATTGTCTTATGTTGTTTTAAAATCCATCTGCCCCTCAACCCCATGAGGAGAGGCGTGGTCTGTGTGCCTGTGCGCAGTGTTTCCCATTTGTGAGGTGCGCCATGTCATGCTGTGTCCCTGAAGGACTTTAGAAGCAGCTGCATAGGACGCTCTGCCTTAATGCTTCACACATGCTACACTGAAGTTCTGAGTAGATGATGCAGCTCCCGGCTCTAAGGCCAAAGCAGTGCAAGGCAGAGCGGCCGTGCCTCACGCAGCGCTGCTCCAGGTGCCGCCCACGGCCTTAGGCACTGCCGTCAGTGGCTTCTGTATCTGTCTTAGTTACTCTTCTCTCGTTGCTGGGACAAATACCCGACACCCAAAATGAAGGAAGGAAAGGTTTATTTAGCTCACAGTTACTGGAGGTTTCAGTCCATACTCAGCTGGGTTCAACGCAGAGCAGCACAGAGCAGAAAAGCATCTTTTCATGGTGGCGGCAAAGAGCAAGAGCGCAAGGGAGAGGTAGCAGCAGCTCAAGCAGCTGGCTTCTCTTCCCACCTTACATTGTAATGCAAATTACCTGCCCCAGGGTAGGGGAAGTACTCACACCTATGGGTATTTCCCAGTACTTACCCACCTATGGGTAATCCCAGCAGTACTAAGACCCATAATCCCAGACTTGGGTCACACATAATCCCAGTGGATCATGAGTTAACACAAACTCTAGAAGTCCTCACCCCATGACTGCATGAGGCTTTGGGGGGACGACTAGACACAAACCATAACAGTATCTCTCTGGCTTGTTTTTATCCAAGCAAATACAAGCGTAATTTATTTTCTTTCAAATTACACCATGTTGAGCTCTGCCTATTGCAGGCAGAGCGTGTGTCCCTGTGCAGTGTGGACAGAAGCGGGCTCCGATGGATGCGCTCCTCTTGTACTCCAGCCAGTGCTCCCTCGCTGGCAGCCCTCTCCCCAGTATGCAACTATCCATGGCAGCGGTGGCTGTGTGCCATGTCGCGTGTGTCCAAGTGCATCTGCAGAGACTCTTCCTCGTGTGGGAACTACTTGGCTTTTAGACATTGCCAGCTTGTTCACACAGGGACAGAACACCCAAGACAGTGAACTTACAAAGAGGGACGGTTCCTTCCAGCGCACCGATGCCGAGGATCTCCTCATGGCTGTGGCCTGTTGCTTTGCTCTGTGGAAGGCAGTGGGTCACGGTGGAAGTGCATACTGCAGAGCAGAGTGGCTTACCTCATGGCAGCCAGGCTGCGAAGAAGGAGGGGCAGGTGCCAACTCCTCTCACCCCTTACCAGCACCCCCTGGGGGTGGCACCTTCCTCCTGGGCCCATCGGAAATGATCTGCCACCACCCGGGCTCTGTGGGCTGAGGATCAGGCTCAGGGACGTGTCACGGGGTGCGTCTGCCCCTGCATTCCCCGCTGTAGAGTCTTTTTGTGCAGCCACTGGAAAGGAGGTGCTCACACACGCGTAGAGCTCAGCTGGCTTCGTGGACATGTGGCCCAGCAGTAGACGATAGGGTAGGCTGTGAATGTCCCACAGGTTTCTCGTATGCACATGTAATCCCTGGTGTGTGGCAGGGAGAGGGAGAGGGCGAAGCAGGCGTTTCCAGGTGGGCTTGGGAGTTGATGAGGGTCAGAGGAGGCCGTCGGCGGAGCCCCTTGAGGGGTCTCTGGTGCCCGTAGGAGGGGGACCATGCACAAGGTGTGAGGGAACTCACTGGGGCTCAGAAAGTTCCTTCAGGGAAGGGCGCTGTGCTGTGCGTCCCCTCTAGCCGCTCCTTGCTTTGCACGCTCCCTTCCTGTGGGCTGCACTCTGCAGCAGCCCGAGTCCTCTTTTCTGAGGCTCTGAAAATCTGTGTTTAAGGAAAGCTGACTTATCTCTGGGTCACTAATCTCCCTCAAGATGCTCCCCCAGCACACTTACCCATCCTTCTCACCTTCTCCTGGAGCTCCTCTTGAGCTCTCTTCCGATAATGTGATCCAAACTGCAGGAAGGCAGCCGTGAGCCAGCTCATGAGCCTCGCCCACAAGGCCTCAGCTTCGTGCTCGCAGCTTCACTACGCGCCTTGGCTCTTGTCAGGATGACCATGAAAGGGAGATGTTTTGATGGATTCAGGACTCAAGGCAGGACTGCCAGGACCCCACAGCTAGAGACACTCAGGAAAGAGGTGTCCAGAGCTGCTGCGGAAAGCGGCCATGAGGTGGGATGTGTGCGCTTAAGGGCAGAGGAGGAGTTTGAGGGGTTGATGGCAGTGTGTCTTGGGTTGCAGTAATTTTTCAGTACTTACACATTTGCTGTTTAATCACATTGTGTAAACACACACACACACACACACACACACGAGTGCTCTGTCCTTTGGCTACTGGTGCTAGGTTCTCCCCTGCCAGCAAGAAGACCAGCCCAGAGTGTGAGCTTTTGATCTGCCAGAGCCGTGAACTGTGTAACTCTTTATGAGCACCTATCTCAGGTGTTCATTATTGGCACGAGAAAAGGCCTGATATGTAACTCAGTTGTGAAGGAAGTAAAGGACAGGAAGGGCTGCTGGATGCGGGTGAGTTCACACCCTGAGTCGGGGATGTCTGTGGATGGTGCGCAGCAGTCAGGTGGACTAGCCGGTGCACTCAGAGGGTGTTTGATGTATTCGCTGGCAGCGATGCTGTTCAGTGCTGCACTTCTGATTTGGGAAGGCTGCTCTGCAGAGGAGGGGCTAGGTAGGGAGATGGCCAGCGGCCATCTGGAAGGGTGGCTGGCAGCTCCTCGTCCCAGCAGCTGTGTCTCTGCTGCTCCTGCTGCATGGTTGGAGTGTGGAGCACTGACCAGGCGGCGGTCCGACGCTGCAGCCCCTGGGCAACTCCCTCATGCCGCTGCTGGCCTGCTGTGATCGTCACAACCCAGCAACTGTTTCCTGAGCCCATTCATCATGGAAGGGTGTCATGGCTTGTGATTTTTGCAAGGGGAACAGTACAATACAGGACACATTTTATAAGATTATTTTATAATGAGTTACTCAAAAAAATCACAGAGTGCAGGAAATCTGCCCACACTCTAAAGACCAGAGCATGCAGCTGAGCACTTGGATCCCGATATCCTGCACGGGTCCAGCCAGAGGCCTGGAGCCCGCGGCAGCGCCTCCCGTGAGTCCAGCCGGAGGCCTGGAGCCCGCGGCAGCGCCTCC